ACAATACACAGAGATATCTCATGGAGATTGGCAAGAAGCAATCTAACATCATGTTACAATTCCTCATATTTTATACATATGACCCGGAACCGGCCTTTCGTTTAGCTTGAATCAGAACTCCAAATATGGTCTTATTTCCTATTGGCTAAATTCTAGCATAACTGACAAATTTAAGGTTCAAAAGTTTAAGCATCCCATGATCTTTCTAACAGATGACTTGACCACAGTCATGCGTCTTACTTCGCTAAAATATCGCTTGTCTATGATAAAAGTTAACACATATAAGACTTCCTCTTTCACAACTTAAGCACACATTTCACCTTTCCCCCCCTGGCAACATCTGACAAGACACGCTTTCAAAATAACCTTTCCTTTTGCAATCCAAAAAACAGTCCAGACATCCATTAATAAATTGTAGCAATAAAACATAGTTTCTTCTTATTTCTTAGAGTAAATATTCTTCTTTGATTATATTTTAAGATGATGAATAAACAGCAAAATGGCTGACAGCATGTCAGTAGCAGGTTACATATGTTCACAGTCCTCCCTTTGGTGCTAGGACTTTCACCACAAAAAGCTCCGTGCAACACTTCCATGTTTAGCGAAGGTCATTCAGTGAGCTAGTGATTTTAAACAGCACTTGCAGGACTTTCCATATAGATGCGCACACGATCAATATCTTCACGAGAAAGCATGTCTGTATTCCAAGTCGGTATGAGTTGTGACCGGATAGGAGACATTTCAACATTCGAAATTGTGCCAGGGGGAGATGAAGGTGAACAGCTCTTGAGGATTAATCGGCATGAACACTTTAGGACATTCACTGCAACATATATAAACACAAGCATCAATACTACTAAAATAACTCCAATGAGAATACGTTTTCCCATTGTTCCCAACCAATTAGTTAAACCAAAACTCCAGTCAAAACCCCAATTTAAACCTCCCGAAGAAGTATTGTGAACTTCTCTAAGTTTAATTTGTACTTCATGCAATTTATCTACATCTGTATGAATCTGACCAGTAACATTATCTATCTTTAAACGACATCTTGTTTTTATTAGTGCACAAACACCACCTTCGGAGGCCAACAAATAATCTAGGGCAAACCTATTTTGCATAATCATAGCTGAAGCTTGTTCCTGTTCCTGCAGACAATTTTTCAATAGCATCTCCTGTATTATTAAAGGCTTCATCTAGTATATCTCCTAACAAGTTTAATTTGTACATTAATTCAATAACCCCCCATGTAGGTACAAAACCTGCAAATAGCCTATCTTCTTCACCAGATTTTACAGTTCTTTCGGTTTTATCTTTTTTGGAACTAATAACCTTTCTTTTATTCCTCACCCTTCCTTCAGGCAAATTTTCATGAAGGGTTAACGCTGGGATAATATTACCTAGATAACAAGTTTCCACCCAATTACATGGAAGTCTTTTTACCGCCCAACTACCACATAAATAGTATACCCCAAATGGAAGATGGATATCAATAACATGAGAATCTGAGCAGTCAAAAATAGGTTGATTAATATAGGGCAGTAGCATAAAAAGATTGGAAGTTAAAGTTTGAGTATTAAAGTAGGCCCATCTCAAAATAGTGACATTTAAATGTTCATTCTGATCATAATTATTATCCATGATTTCTACCTCAGAAGTCAAATTTACCCATACATGATTAGTAATCACCGGGATTCTATCCTTGATGGGACATTTTGTCAAAATATCTTCTAATAAGGGTTTCCAACAAAAAGCTTTCAATCTACCAGTACAAGGGGCAGAATTAGTTTCAGACCCACATAGATTATAAAGGACATTGTTTTCAAAAATAACAATAGCATTGCTTATAGGCTTAACAATCTTGTCAGGACTTTTCTGATCCCTGTTAGAAATTACTACTGCTCTGCTAGTAATAGGATATGTTAAATGAACCTTAGCAGGTTCGCCAGATTTGGATACTTCATTCTGAATAAATCCAACAAACCCCGTTTTATTTGCTCTTATTTTCTCACAAAGACCCATAAAGATTCCATAGACCATGGCACCCCCACAAAAGGATAACCATAGTTCATGGAATGCGGAGCAAACCCACAAACCCAACAATGATTACTTTTGTTTGACAATTTATACAATTCAGTAGCTGTTTTAACAAAATGATTATCTATCTCCCATGAAGAAAAATACTTGGCTCCCTGGCCCAAGCTACACGTGTATTAAAGAAAAAAAAGAGGAGCTAACGTAGTGTAGAGGATGAAAAATTAAAAAAAATGTCATAATGACAATCATTAAGGACAATATAAGTTTAACCAGTTTGAGATTCATGAAGAAAAACAGTAGAGTTGACTTTGGATTAGAAAGATACTCCCCTTATAAAGTACCCCTTTTTAGAAGGGAAAACGGCTTCCTTAGTCCTCTATTCTTCTTCCAGTGAAAAAATCTTTTCCAGCGCTTGTCAGTTTACAATGGGAAATGTGGATCCAAGATTTAACCCCTGCGACTTTAACAGCTGAATTAGTGGTTAATAACACTTGAGAAGGTTCTTTCCACCTTGGTTGCAACGCGTGCTTTCGTGAATGATCTTTTATCATAACATAATCTCCAGGAGCAATGGCATGCAAAGGTTGGTATTCACTTGTTCGCTGTACAGCTTTTACCTGCATATAGAGAGACTAATCGTTTTGTTAGCTACATGCAATATGTCATTACTAAATCATCATTTATCTCATGAGAATAACATTTTATAGGTACCCCTCCTGTGAACATTGGTCTTCCCATTAGAATTTCATGAGGGGATAACCCTGCTTTCAAACTAGAGAGAATCTCATAGACATTAAGGCAAGAGGAAGTGCATTAAGCCACTTTAACTTTCTCTGCTGCAATTTTTGCAATTTTGTTTTTCAATGTTCCATTGGCCCTTTCTACTGCTCCTTCTGACTGAGGATGATGAGAGCAATGTAAATGATAAGGGATTTGCTAAATTTTTGCTATCTGTTGCACTACTTTTCCTGTGAAATGTGTTCCCTGATCTGAGTAAATGTGCCGAGGCAATCCATACCTGGGTATAAATTCTTGTAACAATTTCTTAAACACTGTAGACATATCGGCATGGCAACAAGGATAAGCCTCAATCCAACCTGAGAATGTATCTAATATTACTAGCACATACCGATACTGCATTACCTTTGGTAATTCAATGAAATCCATTTGTAAATTTACAAATGGACCTCATGAACAGGGAGGATGATTTAGGTCTCTGACCTGCATTGTATTGTAAACAAATAACACATGAAGAACACACCAGTGCCAATACAGATTCTAGGCCCAGCCTTGACCATTCAGAATTAAACAATGATGGCAATGCTGGTCTTCCACTAAATATACACTCTCCCCACCAAAATCACTTACTTCTTCTTCCCTCAGTATCACATACAATTCATTTACTTTCAAATGTACCATAGGTTCTGGACCTTGGGTCACTGGTACACTAACAATACATATTCAGACCCCAATCTTCCTCTACATCTAGTCTGTCTTTTTCTTCTAATTGCTTTCTTGCCCCCTTTACCTCCTTGCAATCTGTTGCTATATGACCATATCCATCACAATTGAAACATTTGATAAATGTTCTTACATTATTCTGTGGGGGTCTTCTGGCTATGTTTTGTCTTGGCTGATGTGCATAATATATAACAGGAATTTGTTCAGCTTGTAGCATTATGTGCTCAGCTTTTGCATTTTCCTTGATTTGAATAGCTTGTCAAATTTCTGATGCTGCACTTAATACAATATTAAGTGATTTATCCCGTCATCCCAGTAAGGATAACATCAATTGTTTTTTTTTACTTTAGCATCCAAACCATTTACTAAGGTATTCACTATGAACGGCTTAATTGATTAATTCGTGATATCTTCAAAACTTCCAAAAACCTTAATTGCTTCCGCATATTCATAGGGGTTTTCTCCTTTCTTTTGCACTATGCTATGTATAGTCAATAGGCTGGGTAAAAACTGTTTTTACTTTAATGCTGAGGAATGCATACCAATTCTTAAGGACAACATCACTCCTCTCATCAGGGCAATTTTCCCATATGTGTGCAACTGCTTGTCCCCCCACCCCTGCAGGCCATGAGAAAGGTGATTCGTTATATCCTGCCACCCATTTAGTATGTTCTGTAGGGGTTAATACTGTCTCCATTAACTCATTAAGATCTTATGTTGTGGGGAAATAGCTGGCACACATTATTTTTAAATGTTTTACAAACCCATTTGGATCTAGAGGGGGCAGGAAATGATACCTGTAAAAATGCTATGTCTTGTGGGCTCCACGGTTGACAAATCCTCCGTGGTCTCCCATCATTATCCATCTGTCCCACTTCTCTAATAGGTAAAATCATAGCCTCCCTCCCATCACTCTCAGGCAACACATTGCTACATCCTGATAAACCTGATAGTAACCACAGCATGATCAGCAAATCTTTTAGGCAGTCTAATATCCCCCTCAGGTCTACCACCTCAATGCAACATGGCTGAGGCACCAGCTAAATTTTGGGGTACAAGCTGTGGTGCATCATTCATCTGCTGAGGGGCGGTGACCCAAAGAGGGATTCATAATCTCATGATTAATCAAAAAATCCTCATCATCATTATAAGGCGGAGGATTTTTAACATTTCTTTTTAAATTGTACAGTGAGGGATACAAACAGGCAACACCAGTACCCTCTCCTTTACATGCCCCTCCTGTTGCACCAGACTGGGGGGAACATTCTTGCTTTTTCTTTTCAATTTCCTCATGCTATAACATATATGCAGACCATTCCAGTTTTGAAAGACTTTTTCCATTTAACAACATTGTTCTTAAACTTAACAACACCCAAGGGTCTAATGACCCCACCACTGGCCATGGATTTATATTATTCTTAGTTAACTTTGCCCATTTCTTTGAATACATAATATTTGAAGGGCCATATTTCTGTTTCATTAAATAAACTGGGGAATCACTGGGTATACTATCTCCATGATCAAGCTGCTTGCCATGATTCAACCTCATTTCTGTTACTTGTACTTTGAAACACCAAATGTATACACTCACTGTATCACCTTTTGAGAGATCGAAAGGTCACAATTTTCAGTCTGTATACTGACTGACAACTGGAGTTTACACAAAAATCTCTTCTCAAATGATGTCACAGTTTATCAAACTTTAAACCATATACACACAGTTATGCAATTTTAACACAATACATCTTACTCAAGTGCTACGTTTAACCTATGAGTTTAAACAGTTAATACAAGACAACTTAACTTCACCTTGCTACGTTTAGACTGGGTGAAATTAAGACAATAAAACAAAATAATCTAATCTCGCTTTGCTACGTTTAGACTTGGGAGATTAGATTCATGTGGCTAGCCAATTAATACAAGACAACTTAACTTCACCTTGCTACGTTTAGACTGGGTGAAATTAAGACAATAAAACAAAATAATCTAATCTCGCTTTGCTACGTTTAGACTTGGGAGATTAGATTCATGTGGCTAGCCAATTAATACAAGACAACTTAACTTCACCTTGCTACGTTTAGACTGGGTGAAATTAAGACACTAAAACAAAATAATCTAATCTCGCTTTGCTACATTTAGACTTGGGAGATTAGATTCATGTGGCTAACCTCAACATTTAGCCACAATCACATGACAGGGATACATCATATCAAAGAGACTCTCACCAACAGAGCTACGTTTAGACTTCTGAAGGCCCACCAAACCCCTATTGGGTCTGCGAAGTTTAGTCACTTAAGTCTTCCTAGGGGACTACCTGTCAGTGCTACCACTGATTCTAGAATCACTCAGACAGACACTAATACTGCAGTATATTTTACAACATAGACATAAATAGTAACGTTACAAATGGTCAATAAAAGGCTAAGAAATCAGGTCACACAGACTAGCATTTACCTACACCGTTCTTTGTTTCATGGACACTCAAAAATTACACTAATGCCATGTTTTATAAATGGTATGGCTTACCTTTCATATGACCGGTCTGTTTGAGTGCCCACGAAATGGTTGACAGGTGCAGGTGTTCCGCTGGTGTCTGTGGTATTCTGATCCCGGACAAAGAGCCCCCAACTGTGGAAGTAGACAAAAATATTACCAGGTTCAATAAAAAGCGTTTTAATTGACCATTACAATACACAGAGATATCTCATGGAGATTGGCAAGAAGCAATCTAACATCATGTTACAATTCCTCATATTTTATACATATGACCCGGAACTGGCCTTGCGTTTAGCTTGAATCAGAACTCCAAATATGGTCTTATTTCCTATTAGCTAAATTCTAGCATAACTGACAAATTTAAGGTTCAAAAGTTTAAGCATCCCATGATCTTTCTAACAGATGACTTGACCACAGTCATGCGTCTTACTTCGCTAAAATATCGCTTGTCTATGATAAAAGTTAACACATATAAGACTTCCTCTTTCACAACTTAAGCACACATTTCACCTTTCCCCCCCTGGCAACATCTGACAAGACACGCTTTCAAAATAACCTTTCCTTTTGCAATCCAAAAAACAGTCCAGACATCCATTAATAAATTGTAGCAATAAAACATAGTTTCTTCTTATTTCTTAGAGTAAATATTCTTCTTTGATTATATTTTAAGATGATGAATAAACAGCAAAATGGCTGACAGCATGTCAGTAGCAGGTTACATATGTTCACATTAATATCAGCCTTCGATCGCCTACATTGGGGCTTTCTAGAAGCAGTATTGCTCAAATTTGGAATACCTGAGGGATTTCTGTCGGTGGTGAGGGCCCTCTACAGCCATCCTACTGCACATGTGCTCAATGCGGGGTTCTTGTCTGACCCCTTCTTGATCACAAACGGGACGAAGCAGTGGTGCCCACTTTCCCCCTTACTCGACGTCTTGGCGCTAGAGCCCCTGGCGCAAACCATTAGGGATCATACCTCTATACATGGAACCACTGTTGGACAAAGGGAATACAAAGCGAACCTGTTCACAGAAGATATCCTGCTCACTCTTGCGCAGCTGCAGATTTCCCTCCCAAATCTCCTAGCAGCAATCACAGACTATGGGACCCATTACTACTATAAGCTTAATGTGGCTAAGACCCAAGCCCTAAACATAGGGATCCCAGACCAAACACTACACACACTTCGGGCATCATTCTCCTTTGATTGGAGATCTGATTACATTACCTTCTTAGGGCTTAACCTCACAAAAAACCTGACCGAACTCCAAATACAACCATGAGAAACTTTTACGGGACATAACCGAAACGCTGAAGGGGTGGGAATCTAAATTCCTAACCTGGCTAGGCAGGATAGCTGCAGTAAAAATGTCCATCCTCCCTAAACTCCAATATCTGCTCAGAACGCTACAAATATCTATCCCCAAAACATATTTAGAAAGATTCCAGGCCATGCTAACCCGATTCGTGTGGGAAAACCGTAAAATCCGCGTCTCCTCGAAACTCCTATATAAACCCCTAGACCACGGCGGACTTGGGTTACCAAACATTAAAGAATATTACAGGGCTGCACTGCTAGCCTCCGATATAGCTTCCCACGCAGCTACCCTCCCTCCACAATGGATTGTGATTGAGTCGCATTGGTCGCAACCCAAGGGCATGCACCTTCTCTTCTGGATACCCAAACATAAACGCCCGACTATGCCAAACATGTTGCGTACCACTGACCTGCTCCTTCATACATGGGACAGACTAAAACAAAACTTGGGCGAGAAACACATGTGGCTCCCAGCTGCCCCTATATCTTGCGTGCATGCTGTTAACCCATCCTTTGATTACAGGTCCTGGCGGAAAAGAGGCTGTACCTCCATAGGCCAACTGTTTGGAGACAATGGAATACTGCCATTCCTTGACCTCCAACGTAAATTCAAATTACCGGAGGGCATTGTTCTCATACCTCCAACTAAAAGCGCTCCTCACACACAACCCCCCATTTTCGCGATCGCTGACCATGGCCTTTTTTGAAAAAGCATTCCTAGCCCCTATCACGCCAAATAAGCTACTAGCCTCCATTTTCCGAGTACTGACAGTTCCAACAGCACGCAGCTACGAAAAATTTATGCTCGACTGGCACAACGACTTACACCAAACATTTGACGTCACAAGCTGGAAAAAAGCAATGTTAGCCCATAAGAGAAAGACAAGCTGTGCATCACACTTAGAACTGATGAGAAAAATCCAGTATCGCTGGTACATGGTACCGGACAGGCTGGCGCGAATCCACCCGAACACTTCTGGCCTCTGCTGGAGGTGTTTACAGGAAACGGGAACGATGTACCACATTTGGTGGACTTGTCACAAGATCAAGGGATATTGGCGCATGGTGGGTGACGTATTCACAGACGCACTGGGGATGGGTATTACACTCACACCTGATATATGCCTCCTATTGATGCCAATGGAAAACATTTCTAAACCAGCCTATACCCTACTCTTCCACATCCTCATGGCTGCAAATTTGTTGATAGCCAGAGCATGGAAATCCACAGAAATCCCAGGTCGTACTGCCCTCACAGCGCAGATTACCCTTAATCTGGACTACAAATCAATGGCCCATAAGCATATTAGCCCAAAAAAGCACATAAAGGAAGCAGGAATTATGTGGGACACCTTCATTAAAACTCAAACACACATGGAACATACCCACACCCCAGGCACATGAGGCCAAGGAGGAGAGGCGGAGAAAGACGTAATAACACGGGATGACCCCTGACAAATTGAACATGATGCAAAACCTCTGGCACAGAGGTTTACCACCGGGGGCAAATAAAGGAGACGGGGCGCTGGGCGAGTGGGAGTAGGGGAAATCTGGGCTGGGCTCTGGGCTCTCGACCCAAGATTCACAATAGGCAACTCAGCACACTTGGCAATGGCAATCAACAAAGACACTGGGCATTCTGTAAACTCCGAATGTAGGGACTACCCATGTAGGGTCTTAAATGAAAAAGGAGCTGAGTGGTCAGGCGGACTTGGGAGAGGGACGGGGAGGAAATGGATACACCTGAACACCACCTCCAGAAGGGAGACACAAAAGCACCGCTACCACTATGCAAGCACATGCATATATTTAAAAAAAAGTCTGTCTTAAGCTACGCTACCATAACCAACAGCCCACCAGACCTGAAGATAGTTATGTCTGGCGCAGACACTTGAAGGGAACAGAGCAGCATGACTGGGCACAAGGTAGACACGATAAGGAAAACAAAGCCTGAGACCAAACACTACATAGAAGCACTCTTACAGACAGTCAGACAGGCCACCTTGTACCCAGCCGCTAAGCCCAAAACGATAGACACCCCATAAATTTCTCGTGCAACACAGGCTTGAAAGTATGCATGTACTACCAAATAATAATTGTCATGTGTGTATTTATTGAAAATGCAAAGTACCCTATGGGTCAAAGTATCCGACCCTCCCCTTTCTCTTTTTTGTACCCAACTGCCTTTTCGCTGACTCAATAAAAATTGTCAAATTGAAAAAAAGTATGGCTAGGCATTTGATTACTACATTGAAATAGACTTCTTCAAATCCCACTAGAGATTGTCTATGGGGCTCCAGTCAGGTGACCGCGATGGCCACTGTAGAATTTTCCAGGACTTCTGTGATCAAGCTTGGGATCATAGTCTTGTTGGAAGGTCAAATGATGCCCAAGCTTTAGCCTCCTCAAAAACAGCATGACGCTTTTTCCTAGGATTTCCCGATACTTCAATGAAT